TGGAATAGTTTTGCAATGTAGACGTTTCCTAAGAGCTGACAGTCTGCAAGATCAAACAGATGAGCCAAACAAGCAGACTTAGGTTACAGATGAGAAAAGGAAGACTTGGCAACAAATAAATAAAATAGCGATTATAAAAATAATGTGCATAATTTTTATCGAAGCCGTAAGTATCGTAGGTCTCCGTTTGCTTAGCCAGGATGTAGTTTATTGGACACATTCTGGAAGAGCAGAGATGTGGGGAGCAACTTGGGAGGCAAGGTTGGTGGCTTTACAGATTCTGTCCTGGAGTTTTTCCCCCTTTATAAGCGGTATTATAGGAAAAAGCATTTGTCAGAGAAGCAGGCAATCGAAGTTGCAAGTATATTGACTGGATGAGTGAGTCATTTGAATGTCCTCACTTGTGGGTCTTCTCAAAGTTGTAACAGATTGCATGGTTGGGAGGGATAGGCATTTCTCTTTGGTGTGTGTCACTGCTGCACCATCCATTGGCAAATGGAGTATTGCTAAAGGGTAACTTTGGGTCCTCCGATAGCCTCTCCTACACTAGCCTGAGGAGCCTGAGATCTGAACATGAGCTCTTGCCACACAGAGATGGCCCTTATGTTAATCTTCAGCATTATTTGAAAGTTTCCCACTAGAATTATATTTGTCAGCAGGACTGATGACTCTGGATCTTGTAATTGGCGGAAAACTGATGTACAAATTGTGTTGAGCACTACACCTATGAGAGAGTTGAACTGTATACAAGTGAAATGGAACTGATGGTTTTATCTGTGGTGAATATGTCTCTGCTTCTGTTTGGGACAACTACCAGCGCATCCATCACTGTAGTCCCAGTCTTTGGAAAGTAGAGTGCTAATAGCCACAAACTGAGAAACACGCATAAAGCAATGCGGGAAACCTAAAACTTCCCCCTCAATTTGCTGCACCATTATTATTTGTTATATTTGTTGTAGAGCCCAGGATGTACTAGACACATTCCCATGCATATAATTGACAGTAAATGTGGGTCAGTGGAGATTCATCTGCTTTTCATATAGTGTGTCTAGACTACCGAGTTTTGTTGACAAAAGTGGACTTTTGTTGACAAAACTATACCAGCGTCTACACTACCGCTGAGTTCTGTCGACATAACGTCGACAGAACTCAGCAGTTTTGTCGACGCTGGTATACCTCATTTTACGAGGCATAACACCTTCTGTCGACAGAGTTCTGTCGACAGACGGTGTTATTGCCTGTAGGGTTGCGTCCAGACTACGGGGTTCTGTCGACAAAGCAGCTTGCTTTGTCGACAGAACTCAATGTGTCTGGACGCTCTTTGTCGACGGAAGTTTTGTCGACAGTATCTGTCAACAAAAACGCGGTAGTCTAGATGTACCCATAGGGGAATATGAAGTTGAGTTTAGGTTAGTTTATTCACTTTTGTTTTACCACTATACTACTGTGCTCTTCAGATGTACAAGAAGGAATGTTCCTACCACAATGAACTCACAATCTAAGGATGGACAAATAAGTGGGCAGAACTTGAGGAAGGGGAGCAATGAAAGAGTCTTATTATGTAATCAATAAGACAGTACTGTATAAGGAAGCACATATGAAATGGATTTTTATGGGCCTAAAAGTGGAAAGCATGGGTCTGAATCTATGCCCAGTGTCTCGTTTATAAGAAGATTCTCTCCCTTCTTTCTCTCCACTCAGTGAAGAGCATTCTGATTTAAATATTAGTAAACCAAGTTAATTAGAGTGGGTTTTAACATCAAAAAGGAATGGGACAATTCATCAGTGTTGTAATCCACTAAAGTCAATGAAAGTATGCCAGTTTGATCTATTATTATTTCTCCCAAAGCTGCTCACAATTGTTGACTGACCTCCATACATCACTGAGTTAGAAATATATTAGTTTTTGACTGTCAACTGCTCTCAGATAACACATAGGCTTTAATGTCAGACTTTTTTCCTTGGGGCAGTAACAGCTGGTAGCAATTCTTTGCTACCCAGATGCCCTATGGGTTACGGGAAGTTGTACTGTATCAGTATTTAGCTGTGGCTCAGGTTTCACTTGAAAATATGGCCATGTTTAGAGATGATGAAAATGGCAACATAAATAACATGTCAGTGACTTTGTTTCCATTTACCAGATTAAGGCACTGCCACAGCAGAGCTTTAATGCGATAGTCTGGTTGCATGCTAGCGCTGGGAGAAAGTTCTCCTAGCACTTTAATAAAATTACCCCCACGAGAGGTGTAGCTAACAGCACCGGACGCATGGCTCACAGCACTGGGCTCCTCTCTACATTGGTGCTTTACAGTGTTGAAATTTGCTCGGCTTGGGAGGGGTGTGTGTGTGATTTTTTCACCCCCCTGCATGGGAAAGTTTTCAAAGAAAATAGGTGCGCCTTAGAGCAGTAGTGGGCAAAATACAGCCCGTAGGCTAGATCCAGCCCACCAAACATTTTCCTCCAGCCCACCATGAGCCTCCGTGCCGCAGCTGGAGTAAGATGTCCTGCAGTCCAGGGGCACTCAGGCAATCTTCCTGCTTGCTGTGGCCACAGCCAATGATGCTCCTGGAAGAGCTACGGCCAAGAGGCTGGTGGCAAGCGTGACTCTGTGTGCCCCTGGGGGGGAGGGGGAAGGGAGCAGCAGGTCTCCACTCTCTGCTCATGTTCCCAGCACCAGCCTCACAGCTTCCATTGCCTGAAAATTGGCCAATGGGAGCTGTGAGAGTGGTGTTTGAGGGTGTGGACAGCCTGAGGAAACCTGCTGGCTCCTTCCCTCAAGAGGTGCCCAGAGACATGCTTGCCAGCAGCAGCCAACAGCTTTGAATGGTGTAGGATGCAGGCAGCCTACCTTACTGAGTGCCCCGCTCTGCTGCCTGCCAGGAGCCACCTGTGCTGGTAAACCTCTCCTGGCCAGAACCTGCACCTGGCACCCCCTCCTGCACTCCAAATCCCCTGCTCCAGGTCACAACCCTGTCTTGCACCCAAGCTCCCTCCCAGACCTTGCCCCCCTCCTACAGCCCTGCCCCAGGTTAGAGGCACCTTCTAAACCCAATCTCCCTCCCAGACCCCATATCCTCCATTAAATATAATAGAAAAATGCAGCCCTTGACCACTTACCAAAATTCTTGGAGTGCCCTCTTCTCCCCCCACTGTGAAACTTATTGCCCACCCCTGCTTTAGCGTGTGTCCTGGTGGCCAATAAAGTTAGCCTCTCACAGCCTACAGGAAACACTTCAATGTACAGAATTCATCCTGAGGAAAATCCCTTGCCAACAGCTCCCCACCCACCTTGAAACCAGCGCATCAGTAGGTCAGCAACCTGCCTCCATGGCTCAGCACTGGCCATATCAGGTACAGACACTTTGAGGTATGCAGGTCCAAACCCATTTAGGGCATGTAAGTTCCATCTGCTTAAATTTACTGTTGTAACTCACATTGCCTCTGTGTGGCATCAGGCCTGGTTCTGAGCTCTTACTAGATTTACTGTTGTGTCACTCCATTACTGTCAAGTATCAGAGGGGTAGCTGTGTTAGTCTGAATCTGCAAAAGCAGTGAGGAGTCCTGTGGCACCTTATAGACTAACCGAAGCGTTGGAGCATAAGCTTTCATGGGCAAAGACCCACTTCGTCAGATGCATCGTTTAGTCTATAAGGTGCCACAGGACTCCTCACCACTCCATTACTGTAATCGAGCTACTTTTGATTCTTATCTGTGTGAGACGGGAATGGTTTTAGGCTTACGACACAGTGGACTAATTTAATCACTGGTGAAATTTGTAGAGGCTTCTATGAAGTTGAACTAAGAATAAATTATTGCCCCATGTTCGTATGCATTACCATTTACCAGCTGATGTGCCATGGGAGACAGAAGTCACTCAAAAGATGCAACAATACCAGCAGCAACAACATTACAAATGAAATGCTCCTACATTAAATATTATGTCTCATAGCTAAAGGGGTGAGTCTCTAACTTAGTTCAAGCTAGGGCCTCTTGTAAGGCTAAATAATAGAGATGGCAATTAAATGGTTGTTTTGCTACTTCTTTTTATGTTGATTCTTGTCCCATAGTCTACACTGCGACACTATTTCAAAATAACTAGCTCTATTCCAAAATAACTCTGTCTGCACAGCAGGCAGTTATTTTGAAATAATGTCAAAATACTGTCAAGATGGGAGACTTCTTACTCTGACTCCTGTAACCCTCATTGTACAAGGAATAAGGGAAGTCGGAGGAAGAGTGTTCTATTTCGAAATAAATGCTGTGTAGGCACTCCCTATTTCGAAATATGCGACACAATTGACGTAGCTCAATTTGTGTGGCTTATTTCGAGTTAAGGCCTGCAGTGAAGACACACCCTAGGTGGTTGATCACTGTCAACCTGGACTAGATTTGAACCTACTGTTTTACAATCCGCATCGACCCTATTAAGGCTGTGTCTAGACTACACTTCTCTGTCAACAGAAAGCTGTAGATTAGGCATGTCAACATTACTAATGACGTGCCTAATATCCCGTGCTTCATTAGCATAAACATGGCTGCTACTTTTTTTTGAAACAGAGCTTTTTTTAAAAAAAATGGCAGTCTAGACGCGGATCTATCGAAAATAAACCATTTTTCAAAAGATCCTGTAAACTTCATTTTTTGAGGAATACAGGATCTTTCAAAAAAGGGTTTATTTTCGACAGCTCTGTGTCTAGACTGCTGGGTTTTTTTTCCAAAAAAGCGCCATTTCGAAAAAAAGCAGTGGCCATGTTTATGCTAATGAAGCGTGGGATATTTAAATCCCTGCTTCATTAGCAATTTCAACGTGCCTAATCTACATCTCTCTTTGGACAGAGAGGTGTAGTCTAGACGTAGCTTAAGAGTAAGGCTCCTCCTATCTTGTTTCCACTGAAAATGTATTAAAAGGGCAGATGTACCCTATCTGGCAATGTTCCCCGAAGTTATTTTTCTGAGACATCTAGCAGACCAAACACAAGTTTCATCCAAGTTTAATTTTTTCAAACTGCTTTATTGTCCCCTTCTAAGCTTTAAATGCTGAGAGTCACAAACTTTAAGGCTACATGTCTCACAAATTGCTTCAGATTGGTTGAATAAATGGATCAAAGTGTAGGCACTGGATAAGTGGAGTTGTGAAGGGCAGTGTATATGATATTTAATATTATCCATTCATATCGACAGACTGATAAATCCCAAAATTCTTATCTGCAGTCAGAGTCACAGAAATATAGCCACCTCTGGGACCGAAGATAACAATAATGTGCTATATTGCACACTCAGTGGAAAAGAAAAAATGTTGGTCAAGTCACGGAGGAAAATCCCTACTCCAAGCAACATTTGGTCCTTTTTTAATATGCAGCATCTGGTTTCTGAGAAGCACGTCAATTCGCTTTTCATGTGGTCATTTTACTTTCTTCCTTCATCCTTGAATTTAAATTAACTTCTAAGGTGGCTGAAACTTGAGTTTTTGCTGGTAACATTAGAAGATAAAAATTGCGTCTACTTCAGTCCTCTAGAAGTTGAAGGAGAAATGCTGAGCATTCCATCCCTTCTACTCAGAACAGTAATTAATATCATTCTGGGAAAACATTTTTCACCTCTGTCACCAGACATCAGCTGGTGGGTGACGGCATGATATAAAATATCTTCCCCAATTAAAGAGGGCAGCTGTTACAAATGGAGCAGGTAGCTCATCACAGAAGGGACAGTGACATAAGCGCTAACTCTGTGGGTGCTCGCAGCTGTAGCACCCACAGGAAAAAAATAGTGGGCGTTCAGTGCCCACTGTCAGCAGAAACCTATATAGATAGAAATGTCTGCCCAGAGTCCTGTTGTGCCTGTCTTCCGCGGGTAGACATTTCTATCCATTTCTATCTATGGATCAGGGCCTCACCACACAGCGCTCTCTCCTGACGGCACTGCCTATAGATAGTGCTTTTCTACTGGCTCTTTTCCCTCTAAACACTACTGAATAGTGATCTTTTATAAATTGGGGTTTTGAAAAGGGAAATTTTAAAAGGGACTTTAACTCTCCTTTCCCTTTGAAAATCTCGGCCTGAGGGCTTTCAAACTCATGCACATAAAAATCTTTTTTTTTTTTTTTTAGTATTTCATTTGATTATTAAAAATAGCATAAAAGCATCTAGACCTACAATGTCTAATGTTTACTGATGATGGGTGAGCAGCATGGGAGTCCTAGCGCTGGACTTTTCAGAGAAGGAGTGCATCCAATACCATGGAAGTAAGTTGGGACTGTGGTGCTCACCATCTCTTATAGACATAACCACAATCAAAGAGTATAGGTAAATCAGTCTCTATGAGGAGACAACTGTGAGTGTGTTGTACCTTTCTCTGAAGCATGTGGTGCTGATCACTGTCAGAAATGAACCATGGATCTGATCCAGTACTGTGATTCTTATGCCCTAAATCACTGTACACACTAGAGGAACATTTATACTTAGCGCAAGATTGATGCTCCACAGGTCAATCTAGCATTCGATTTAGCGGGTCTAGTGTAATCCCATAAATCAAACACTGATACTCCTCCTTTTGCGAGGAGTAAGGGAAGCTGACAGGAGTGTTTTCTCTGGTTGGGCTTCCGTTGTGTGGACGCCACCAAGGCTCAGCATAAGGTAAGCTGACTCCAGCTATACATTTTGCATAGCTGGATATGTATACATTAAGCCAACATTCCTGGTCTAGTATAGACCAGGCCTAGCAAAATTAGGTCATAGAGGAACCTAATGCACAAGATACCTCAGGGGTAGAAGCCCCAGTGCAGAGTTCAGACGTTCTTACCATGTTGTTTAGTCCTGCTCAGAACACCCTTAAGTCTGATGGTCTTAAACCCCAGAACCCTGTCCGTATTATAGTTTCTACCACTCACAAAACTGCATCAATGGCAGGTTCTAGTTTCTCTAGTACACATGCACTTTAAGACCATGAATTTTTAGAAGTACTGGAAACCCAAAAAATGGAGGTTCCCAAAATTAGTGAATCCTTTGGACTATATAAGCCATGTTATTATATATTATATAACTGACATTATTCTCCAAAAAGGCAAAATTGATTTCTTTTTTTCCTTCTAGAGTCTTTTTCATTGTTGTTAACACAGCAGTTATGCCAGTCTCAGAGAACCAAGAGACAGGGAGTTATTTAACTATCAGTCCCATAACCACAGCTCTCACTAACTCCCATGGGATTTCTGTATGCACAAAATTGGTTAGATTGCAACCCTGGTAAATACTCTGCACAAAGCAGAAATGGCATCACTCTAGTGTGTTCACTTCCATTTTTTAAGAGTTAGCCATGTGGCCATGTCTGCTGGTGTCTTATTCCTATGCAACGTCCTTCAGAGTCCCAGCTGCAGCCTGCACAGTGAAGGCTGCAATGGAGATCTGCCTCTTTACTTCTTCCCAGGCTTTGCGCTGATCTGCTTTGTTTTCAATATCAAACATGGCATCATAGATCCCTGGGAATGACTCTCCAGCGTACTTATTGTGGCTGCTCGGAGCAAAAACAATGTGTCTGTGGAGAAAGAGAAAAAAAGCCTTAGGCAAGAAGGAGGGACAGGGAGAACAAGGGGAGCTACTGAAACATGTCTGAGGGGAATCCCTGAGAGAGCAAAAATTGTGCTGGAATGAGACTAAAAAAAGGTAATTTTCAGTGTATTTAATATCATTTGGCGTTTCCATACATTTTTATTTCAGTTTTAGGCCAAAATTAAAAACTTTTGGCTCCCCCTTTCATTGGGAAATGAAAAATGTTTGCCTCAAGTTTAATTTTTCTGCTTAGATGAAATAGCAGTACACTTTGAAATGATGCAAAAACCTGAGTTGTCCAAACAGCCACACAATGTGGGAGGGAGGGGGGATGGTAATGTGACCAGCTCTAGCTGAAATCCTTGCAAGCATGGGGAAGGATTTAATATTGGGAGGGTGAATGGTTGCTTCCTTGGAGGCTAGTGCACCTGAGGAGGCATGAATGCCCATTTAGCTCACAAAGAGTTACAGACTGGCTTTGGATTTCTGTGCACCCTGGGATTGAAATACATTTGATTTGACCAGGGGTCATATCACTGACACCCTTTTTCTGAAGTAACTGGGTACTTCAATGAAACTGAAGCACTGAGGCAAAATGAGGTAAAGCCATACGCTTTACACCAAAGAGGCAAACTGCTCCATCACTATAGGTACATGGCCATAAATGTTATAAGTACAATGTACCCTTCTTGTGAGACAGAATAGCATTACTGCACTCAAGTGTAAAATCCTTCAATGGTATAATCAATCCTTACCATGTGATAAGAAGGATGGGCCAGTGGTTAGTGCAATAGCACCGGCATGGAGAAGAGATGGGTTCATTTGCTGTTTCACCACAGGTCCTGTGAAACACTGGACATGTCACTTAGCCTCTCTGTGTCTCAGTTTCCTTTT